ATAAAGAATCTGCCTGAAATGTGGAAGACCTGAGTTTGAAAGATTCCCTGGCGGAAAGCATGGCAACCCACTCCAGTATTCTGGTCTGGAGAATCCCCAAGGACAGAGGATCAAATTTATTTTGTAAATTTTAAAGATATGAGGTGACTCTTTAGGAACCTCCTTTTCTCATTCATTGACACACAGACCCTCCCTCCCCCCTCAGCATAAACACAATCCTGCTTTTTCCTCCCACTGTTTAGAGTGGGAGTGGGAGTGACAGAGATGCTAGACCACCTCTCAGCCACTGGTCCTCAGTCTAATGAGGTTCAACCAGTCCCTTTCTCTCTCTCTGTCTCACGCTGATGTCCAAGCTCAGGTGCTCAGTGTTTTTTTTTTTTTTAACAAGAATGACATGTTTTGGGTCTTAATATTCTCCCCCTTGCTGGCTTTGAAGATGGGCAGGAGGCCATGAGCCAAAGAATGCAGGCGGCCTCTAGAAACTGGAAAAGGCAAAGAAATGGATCTCCACTTCTAGAGCCTCTGGAATGAGCACTGCCTGGCGTAGCCCTGGGTTTTAACTCAGTAAGACCTAATTTTGACTTTTGACCTCCAGAACTGTAAGATAGTGAATGTGTTGTTTAAGCCACTAAGTTTATGCCAATCTTTTAAAGCAGAGATTAGAAACTCATATAATAAACAAATATTACATGTGATCAAATGATGCTTACTCCAAAGAAAACCTGAAACGTATCATTTAAGGGATTTTGAACACTCTCAGAGAAGTTGCCAAGATGAGGATTAAAAATAATAAAATTGCCATGTTCAAAATAGTTTCTAGTATTTGTTTAAAATAATGACATTGTTATCTCATTTTTTTTTAAAAAAACTCAGCTGGGGCAACACTCTGAAAATCACCCTACACAAGTTGCATTACAAAGGGCAGGTTATAATGAATTGGGCTTCCCTGGTAGCTCCACTGGTAAAGAATTCACCTGCAGTGCAGGAGACACTGGCTCGATTCCTGGGTCAGGAAGGTCCCCTGGAGAAGGGACAGGCCACCCACTCCAGTACTCTTGGGCTTTCCTGGTGGTTCACTTGGTAAAGAATCTGCCTGAAATGTGGAAGACCTGAGTTTGAAAGATTCCCTGGCGGAAAGCATGGCAACCCACTCCAGTATTCTGGTCTGGAGAATCCCCAAGGACAGAGGATCATGGCAGGCTGCAGTGCATGGGGTCTCAAAGATTTGGACATGCCTAGGCAACTAAGCACACATAATGAATCACTCAGCAAAATAACTCAACAGCACCTCTTTCATTTATTTTTCTCCTGTATTTTGACAAGCAATCAGAAATGTCCCAGGAAAGAGCACAAAACTGTTCTCTTACCTGACAGTACAGTTTCTGAATTTCCATCATCTATTGGGTACAAATAAATGGAAATATTTAATATTCAACTAAATCAAATAACTTCTACCTCACCTACTTAATCATTTTTAACAAATCTATAATGTGAAGGTCAAAAATACCAAATGTAAAACATAGTGAACTCCTGCTGAAATACAAGCCCTTGGACATAATAGATTCTCAGAAATATTTGCTGATTTGATTGATTTGAAGAGACCCTAAAGGTAGTAGCTTCAACCTGTGATATTGGCTCCAAAGAATGCTCACCCCTTGAGAGCAGGCTAGTCATCATGAACGAACTAAAGAATTAAATAATAACTCTGCACGCCAAGACCTAGAACAATGCCCCAAGTGTCACTGACACTCAATAAAGTTTGCTCTTATCATTCCATGTACATGAGCTCATTTAACCCAAATGGAGCACAGTGAAGCAGATGTTTTAGTTCCCTTTATTAAAAAAAAAAAAAAGATGTTTTAATCCCCTCATAAAAATGGCTTGCCCAAGGCTACACTAAATAAATGGCAGTGAAACTGTTAGTTGCTCAGTGGTGTCTGAGTCTTTTGCAGTCCCATGAACTGTATGTAGCCCACTAGGCTCCTCTGTCCATGGGATTCTCCAGGCAAGAATACTAGAATGTGTAGCCACTCCCTTCTCCAGGGGATCTTCCCGACCCAGGTATTGAACCTGGGGACTCCTGCATTGCAGGAAGATTCTTTACCATTTGAGCCACCAGGAAAGCCCAAAAATGCAGAGTGGGACTCAAACATGGAGCTTCTACTGCTAAACCCACGGCCTTTCCCTCAACCCAGAGCTCAGCGGAGTAACCCACGCCCGTCTTCAACATGTTCCCACTGAGTTTACCAGTTGCACAATGCAAGACTCGGCAGTTTCCTAGTCCATCAACAAACGGATGATTCATGTACAACACATGTACTATGTTCTCCCTCCCCAGTTTGGCTCATCAGTTCCAACCAAAAAAGCTTCTAGTTTTAAGTCAAAAAGAAAATTTGCATCAAATAAGGACGAATATTGCAAATTCAACATGAGAAGACTTCCCACCTTGTGGCAATGGCAGTGACTCATCAGCATTCTTTTCAGGGAGAGGAGTCAAGACTCCAGCGGCTGTTAAGATGTAAAATATTCATTCTGAGCCACAGAGTGGAAAGAACATAGGCTGAACAGCTGCATAAGCTACACAAAGATTCACCAAGACTTTCCCTTAGTATGGTGGCAGCAATAAGGCTTTTAGTAGCAACTCCATTGGCAAAAAGAAAATATCAATACTAGTTGATAACTTAAAAACCTCATGACTGAAAAGAAAATGAAGCTAACTCTTACTGAGGGAACAAAGTGACCCAGTAGCACTTTCAACTTACTTGATGCAAATTTTCCTTTTGACTTAAAAGTTAAAGGGTTTTTTTTTTTGTTGGAACTGATGAGCCAAACTGGGGAGGGAGAAGTGAAGTGAAGTGGAAGTCGTTCAGTCATGTCTGACCCTTTGTGACCCCATGGACTATACAGTCCATGGAATTCTCCAGGCCAGAATACTGGAGTGGGCCTTTCACTTTTCCAGGGGATCTTCCCAACCCAGGGATCAAACCCAGGTCTCCCTCATTGCAGACAGATTCTATACCAGCTGAGTATACTACATATTTTGTACATGAAAACTTACTGGTGGGATCATCTTAATGGCCCAGAAATGTGCAAATGGCAAATAATGATAGTAAAAAACGGCAATCTGGTCCATCCCCTGTTTATTCTACCTTTTCCTTTATGATCTACCTATTACTTTCCTGGGTGGCTCACAGAATGAAAAATGTCAAGTCAATAAAACAAAAACATGCATTTACCCCATGCTGGCTTTAAATTTTTCAGTCTCTGTTAATATGTGGAGAAAGAAAAGATCGCTTTTAGGAATAGGGATATTGTTTCTAGAGAGGCTTCAATTCAAAGCGAATTTTAAAATGAAAGAATGTGACTCCGAGAAATAAAAATGTTGATGCTCCGTGCCTTAGTTCAGATGACTTTAATTAACCATCAGATACACGGACACACAATAGCCCAGTGTGTCTAGTAACACATCCTATACAATCGTGGCCGTGCTATCCCTCCCAGAGACTGCAATATCTCCAAATAGGAGGCAAAGAGTTCCTGACCCACACGAAACAAGGGAAACACAGTAGCTCTACAGAATTGTCTGCTTTTATGGCATTCTAAACCAAAAACCCAAATAATGGAACAAAACAAAGGCAAATCAAAGGGAAAAGAATGAAACAAAAAACATACAATAAAAAACCAACACACACACATGCACATACACACTTCCACCAATATTTGAGCTGTCGGAATAGACTTAAAAAACTTTTTAATTGTCATGAATACAGTCATTCCGGTTGAATACAACTGGGATTTTTAGCAAATAACCAAGTTATTTGCTCTAGATCCACTAGATGACTTCCTTTGTTTCCCAGCTGGTACACACCTTTATGACTTCAGGGTTGGTTGTGTACATATCAGCCACACGTCCGGTGGAAATTCATTTCTTTGTCTGGACCAGTGGTTCTCAATCAGAGGCAATTCCCCTACCCCCACCCCAGCAGACACTGGATAAAGTCTGAAGACATTCTTAGTTTCCAGAGTTTGGGTGGTGATCCCTCAGTGGGTAGTCGTCAGGGATGCTGTTAAACAGCCTACAATGCGCAGGGCGGCCCCCATCACAGAGAATTACAGGGCCCCAAACATCCATAGTGCTGAGGCTGAGAAACCCTGGGCTGAAACAATCAAGACAATTACTAACTGGTCAAAGACTTGTGATTAGCAACACATGGCCTGGACTGGCAGTCAACAGGACAAAACTCATTGCTATTCTAATTTCTAAACTCCTGGCTTCTACACCTCCATTTGATTGCATCCTTTTTAGTGGGAAAAGCTTTATCTTTTAGTCCCCCACAGTGCCCTGCGGAAATACAATGCATTCAGTGAATGATTAATGTCACTGCTGACTTCTGGTGTTTTTTCAGTCACTTTGGACTCCAGTCCTTGTAATGGGAACCCCAGTACCTTCCATTATATTTCTCTGTTTAAAATCCACTTCGACATCTATTTGTTAGAAAATTCCTGCACTCAAGTTGAATGCCTCAACTGACAACTGTCTTGACTTTGCGCTCATATAAAGGGTCATAGATGGTCTACACACATGCTTTTATGGCATTCTAAACCAAAACCCCAACTGATGGAACAAAACAAAAGCAAATCAAAGGGGGGGAAAAAAAGAAAAAATATATGATAAAAACCCAAAACACACACACATGCACAAACACATGCACATACACACTTCCACCAATACTGTACCCAAGTGCAAGCTCTGCTGATGGATTAGTGGAGATGCTGTCTGGATGATGGGATGTGCATCCTTGGAGGGAGAGGTGACTGCTACCTGAGCAGATGACACTGGCGTCTTCTCCAAGACCGCAGATATGGATGTACCAGTCAGCATGGGGACACTGTCCCAGAAAACTCTTGTCTTCCTGTACAGTCCACATCATCCAGCAGAAACTGGCCTTCTCCGTCCCCAAAGTGGGCCTTCACTGGGGCTGCCAGGGCAGGCCTTCAGCTCAGTTGCTGGCACACCACCTTGGCTTCATGCATGTCCCAGTGGTCCTCACAGACCCTGCCCCACTGGCCATGGTAGAAAACCTCCCCACCTCCAGAACATCTGCCTGACCCATTCACTAGCTGCAATTGCAGCAAGTCTTCCAAAAAAAAAAAAAAATTGCATATTAGGGGAAGGGACACTTTCTGCATTAACCCATTTGTTGAGCTGTTCGACAAAGATTAACTGAACACATGCTGGGTCCCAGCAAATAGCCCTGTGGCTACTGCGATTCACAGACCAGCCCTAGTTTTTCCTGGCCCAAAGTTTAGACTCCAGTTTGAGGAGACTAGAGGAGGCAGCCCCATTGATCCAACATTAAATTTAAACTTACAGTTCTGCAAGATGCTAAGAAGCAAACATCAAAGCTACGGTTTTTCCAAAAGTCATGTATGGATGTGAGAGTTGGACCATAAAGAAAGCTGAGCGCAGAAGAATTGATGCTTTTGAACTGGGTTGTTGGAGAAGACTCTTGAGAGTCCCTTGGACTGCAAGGAGATCCAACCAGTCCATCCTAAAGGAAATCAGTCCTGAATGTTCATTGGAAGGACTGATGTTGAAGCTGAAACTCCAATATTTTGGCCACCTGACATGAAGAGCTGACTCATTTGAAAAGACCCTGATGCTGGGAAAGATTGAAGGCAAGAGAAGGGGACGACAGAGGATGAGATGGTTGGATGGCATCACTGACTCAGTGGACATGAGTTTGGGTAAACTCTGGGAATTGGTGACAGACAGGGAGGCCTGGCGTGCTGCAATCCATGGGGTCACAGAGAGTCGGGCACGACTGAGTGACTGAACTGAACTGAAGAAGCAAACGTGGAGATGTTCATAATGTTTTGAGAACATAAGGGGGTGTGGGTTCCAGGATATCTTTTCTAAGAAGGGATGATGGACTTGAGGCTTGGAGGAAGAGAAGGATGGAGTTAAGTAGACAAAGGGATGGAGTAGAGGCAGAGCCTTCCTTGACGTATTGAGAAAAGGCAGAGTTTATGAGTGATGAGAATGCATAGAAATCCCCAGATGAAATCATTCTATTTGGTAGTATTTGTAAAGTTGGGACCTACTCACCATTTAAAAGCACACAACCCACTAAACCACATCAAATGAGGAGTTACAAAACCTTGACTCACCCCAGGGAAATGGTGTCAGCATCTCAGCATCTAAGAGCAAAGAGGAAGAAATGATGTATCATTGCTGTTGTTGCAAAATAGCCCACCCAAGTTTCTTGGTGAGCACTGCACGTATGTGATGATAGCCCCGTGGAGTAGAAGTTAAGCTAAAGGCATGATTCCAGGAGTATATCTGGTAGGTTCTTTCTAGAAATTGATAGTATTGGGTTGGCCAAAATGTTCATTGGGTTTTCACATAAGATTTTATGAGGACCCACAAAGCCACAGGCATTACTGGGGCAGCTGAAGTAAGGATTTTTGTTAGTCTGATTTTAGTTTAATTATATGTTTGAATGATAATGGATTAAATCACATCCATATTCTCTCTCCATAATTTTCTAAAATGCATCTAGGCAACAAGAACAAAACAGTCAGGGGAGAGAATGTTTTATGCGTGGTTCAGGGCCAGGAATCGACTGCTTCTTTTCTTTCCCTTACTTAGTCCTTTCGGTGAAATTCACTATTTGTTTTCTGCCCCTCCCCCACTTCCTGCAGTGGGTTATGTTGGCAAATAACATCAGAGGATGGGGTGCTTGAGGGTGCTCTGTTAAAGATATACTAAGGTATGTTTCTTACCAAAAGCTCCTGAAGTTTCATATTCATCATCTGTAAGAAAGAAAAGAAAGCTGATTGTAACTTGAGTCTAGCAAGTTGAGTCAAGATTCTGGAATGTCCTGCCCTTGCTGGATGGTTCAGCCATCATCCCACTGTTAAGATTCCGGTGAAGCAGTTCAGCCTGGAATTAGTCTTTAATACGGTTTCTCCAAAAAGGAATATTGGAAGGAAATGCCTTCTGACTATTTCAACAGTTGCTGAAATACAAACATCTTAATCTAAGCTTCATGAAAAAAAGAAAGTGAAAGTGAAAGTCACTCAGTCGTGTCTGACTCTTGGCGAACCATGGACTATACAGTCCATGGAATTCTCCAGGCCAAAATACTGGAGTGGGTAGCCTTTCCCTTCTCTAGGGTACCTTCTCAACCCGGGGATTGAACTGGAGTCTCCCAAACCAGGTCTCCCACATTGCAGTCGGATTCTTTACCAGCTGAGCCGCAAGGGAAGCCTAAGAACACTGGAGTGGGTAGCCTATCCCTTCTCCAGCAGATCCTCCGAAACCAGGAATCGAACCGGAGTCTCCTCCATTGCAGGCAGACTCTTACCAACTGAAGTATCAGGGAAGCCCCAAACTTCACACTCAGGAATAACACAACACATTTAGCTAGTACTGGTTTTTCTGTTTCTCAGCCTGAGATTGGGGTCGGAGGCACCTGCAGGCTAAACCGGAGAAGGCAATGGCACCCACTCCAGTGCTCTTGCCTGGAGAATCCCATGGACGGGGGAACCTGCTGGGCCGCAGTCCATGGGGTCGCAAAGAGTCGGACACGACTGAGTGACTTCACTTTCATTTTTCACTTCCATGCATTGGAGAAGGAAATGGCAACCCACTCCAGTGTTCTTGCCTGGAGAATCCCAGGGACGGGGGAGCCTGGTGGGCTGCTGTGTGTGGGGTCACACAGAGTCGGACAAGACTGAAGCGACTTAGCAGCAGCAGCAGGCTAAAGAGGTGCATCTTCCCCAGGGACCAATATTACTAAATGGGGAATATTCAAAACACTATTTTCATACCACAATAAGTGAGGTTTTGTTATGGCTGGGAAGTAAAACTCCAGGTGACTTTTTAAGATAAAAAGATCTCAAAGAGAGTCTCTGCTCTAGGCAGGCAACTCTGGGCCACGCTTTTGGGAGAATTTGTTTGAGAAACAAGGGAACTGGTTACTCCATTCACACTGGTCCCCTCACCCACCCAGTCAATCACTCATTTCTCCAATTAACATATACTGACCTTCTTTCAACATCCCTGGAGGGAAGAGCACTTCAGGAAATGGAAGAGGGTGGAGTGAGTTGCAAAGACAGGGAAGGCGGGTCTGGAGGCTCCGGTTTTAATAAATGAGGGCAGCTGGGGAGCTGGCCAGGCTGTGGGGCGTGTGACTGTGTGTATGTTTGGTGGGGGGCGAGGGGAGGTTGGGGGCACGCGAGGTAGGGGAGAAGGGTGAGGTCAGCAGCAGAGCAACAAAGACAACTCTACACACTTGCCAATTCTGTTCAGGCTCGGGGCAGCTTTTACCAGAATGCAGGTGCTGAAGGGTACTGAATAGCTGATGTGGAGTCCAGAGGCTTGAATATTTGCCACGTGACTTTGGTTGAGGTGCATGACCTTGACTTAACCTTTCCCCTGAACCTCAGCTTCCTTATTTGTAAAACAGACATCATAAAACAAGCCCACCAGAGTTGGTAAGGATGGTGAGGGATCGTGGCTGGAAGGTGCCTAGAAACGCCTAGGTGTCTAGAAAATGGGGAGGAGTTAACAAGTCTTGTCAGGATTGACCGCTTGAGGCAGGCTCTCAGGCAAAACCGTTCAAGAGATTCAAAGCACCTGGACTTGGAATACGGGGCAGACTAAGATTACAATAAAGATCCAGTAAGTCTGTCAACAAATCATACTAGAAAGAAATTAGATTATTCCTCTCCCTAGAAAAATGACAGAGGAAACTTAATCAACTTTAATCCTTAAAGGGGAGAATCAGAGGAAATTACTGGGAAAATAACTGAGGCTGATACTTGAGGATGGAGCTGTAGATAAGTCTGCTGCTGCTAAGTCACTTCAGTCGTGTCCAACTCTGTGCGACCCCATCCCTGGGATTCTCCAGGCAAAAACACTGGAGTGGGTTGCCATTTCCTTCTCCAGTGCATAAAAGTGAAAAGTGAAAGTGAAGTCGCTCAGTCATGTCCGACTCTTCTCGACCCCATGGACTGCAACCTACCAGGCTCCTCCGTCCATGGGATTTTCCAGGCAAGAGTACTGGAGTGGGGTGCCATTGCCTTCTCTGGTAGATAAGTCTACTTCGTTAGTAAAACAATTATTAATTATTAACCATCAATGAATATCAATTAATAAGTCCTTATTAAAATGAACAAATTATATGGCACATGCCTGGTTCTAAAGCAAGGTTTCTTAACTTCAGCATTAATGACACTTTGTTCTGGAACGTTCTCTAGGGGGGGAATGGGAGCTGTTCTGTGCACAGCAGGATGTTGAGCAACATCCCTGGCCACCACCCATAAGATGTTAGCAGTGCCCCCTTGTCGTGACAATCGAAAATGTCTCCAGACATTGCAAATATCCTCTGGGGGACAAAATCACCCCTGGTTGAGAATAACTGTTCAAAATCCTACCTGAAAAGTGGTTTTCAATTCTCCCGAAGTAAGCGGCTTCAAAGATTC